ACTTTAAAGTTTAGGTTCTTTTTATTTCTGCGCGCAGTCATACTTCCTTTTGGAAAAGTGGTATGCAAGTATACATAAGACTGCAACAGAAATGAATATTGCTAAGGACACAGTGCTGTCTTTGCTAGCAACAGAAAGAACTAACCGGCAGGTAATATCCGTCAGTACCTATCTTCCGCATGATGAAACTAATGGGCCAATTTTTACACCTAAAAGCACACAACTTTTCTTTTTTGAGCGCAGCGGTGAATGAAATTTAGCAAGTTACGTTTGCTTGATTTTTACATGCCTCTCTTGTTCCCAAAGGATTTCACTTTCTCAAGCAGTGTATCACAACGCATGTTTTGCTTGCATTTTTTCGCTGTTAGAAATCAGAATATACCTAATCCTGCTGCAAGGCTATCGGTGGCTCATTCATCAGCAAGCTAATAACGGGTTTTACCCCCTGGTATATAGCAGTAACAATTCGTCATGGAAATGAGTAATTGAGCCACAGAAGAATTCTTTGCTTCTTCTGATCAGCTGCAGTGCAGCTGTGCAAGTGGTAACTTTACCAGTCGCTTCGAACAATGCTGTATCATATTTTGGTCAACATGATAACGATCCTGACATTCGTTTTTTCTTTTCTTTAAACAGTTATCGGCTAAACAGTTTTCAGTCTTAAAAGCTGTGTGTATTGAACAATAATCATCTGTTCTTAAGCAACCAGTTTTTGACCACGGTTAAGTACCTTAATGAGTTAAACTAAATGGATGCTCTTTTCAGCACACAGCTGGAATTCTTGGTGGTGGGCATGCTGTCAAAATTCTTGGATGGGGTGTAGACCAAGGAGTGCCGTATTGGTTGGTTGCCAATTCTTGGAACACCGACTGGGGTGAAGATGGTGAGTTGCTCATTTACATTTTTTTTTTCGAACAAGTAAATTCTCATACTAATTTTTGAGAGGGGTAGTTAATTATGCGTTTTTGCATATATGTAACCCAGGCTGGAACGCACCGGGCGAGCCGGTGCGATCATGCGTTTTTGCATCAAACTTCGAAGTGCCGTTTCTCCTAGAGGGGGAA